AATGTCGTCATTGTTTTTGGTGTTCTAGTCATATTTCAACGGCTCTCTTAATTATGTGAGGGTTATTGAGTAATGGTGGACACACTACTACTTGAAAATGCCTTGCCCATAGGTTTGTTTGTCATTGGCTAAATAATGATATATAATTAAGCGATGTGTACATAAATTTTGTGGTGCTATATAATGCGAATTGATAATTGAAATAAGTTGGTACAAGTATTTATCAATTTTACTAATTATCAATATGTCACATGTCTAATTTAAGATATTCATCAACTCATCTTAATCAGTACAAGTTGTATTCTTATTTATGCTTGAAAATAAAAAATAAAACTAGAAATTGTATGTGTTTGTAACCGATCTCCTCAGTCCCTAGGTGGCCTGGATGAATATCTTCCTTCCATACTCGGTGGATACAAAGGGACATACATTTTTATTCCTTCACATGCCCTCCCTCCAACTCTTGACATACCACAGCCTCGTAGTGTGTGCACACTGTCCCCCATATGTTCAATGGTACTTGTTCGACTATAATTGATTGGTTTTTGTCTAGGTAACTAAATGGTAGCAAAGAAGATTGGAATCATATAGAAATCTTAGAGGATATAATCGTATGTTAAATTCTTTGTGGTTCTAGTGTTCTTTGCTACCATTATTGATTCCTTAGAGGTTTTTTCGATTAGAAAAAAAAAAATATTTGACAAATATTTAATAAAAGTATCAAGTAAAATAGATTTATAAGCCTTGATTTAGAATAGACATTAATGCAATTAAACTTAAGAAATGCGATTTACATTTTATATGTTTAATTAGCATTTTATAGAGAGTAGATTGTGTAATTATCTCTTTATATAAGTTAATATTTTATTGAAATCTAATTTTTAGGAAAAATTTTGTCCAAAATTTTTTAAAAAACAAAACAATATATATTTTGTTAAATTTGATGTTTGCACATTTCTTCTCATGAGTTGCAAATTCTAATAAGTTGACTTTTGAGTAGATATACCTGGATAATATTATAACTTCTAATTAGGTATGTAATTTTATGGGTTTTTACTTTAAATTTATGCAACTTTTTTATTCAAATTGGATTTTTCTATCTTAACTGAAATTTGTAGGTATATGCAAAGGGTGGATGTGATAAGGTTATAGTTTAGGCTTTCAATTTAGTGTATGTACTTTCTATGATTAATATTCGATTTTTTTTTAATTGCACAATGCTTTTAGGCAAGAGTTATCTCTAATTTACTAATAGTATAAATGTCACATTTTTCTAACAGTTTTTTGCTCTTACCCTTTGCTTGTAGAAGTTTTCTTATTGAACCACTTTGTTTTGTGTCTTGGGGACTGAAAAACTAATATTGGAATAGTCCCTAAAATAACAATCAAATGAAATATGATATAGAATGGAATTGAAAATCCCAAAAAGGTTAAGACTAAAAACAAAAAAAAAAATAGACTAAATAGATGGAAAATGAAATTGAACAGATCTTATGAGGAGTGAAGAGGTGGAAAGGATAAATGCAGTGGTGGGTAGAGGTAATGGTTTGGTAGAGAATTAGAGGGTGATAAAGAGGGATTGTGCAGAGGAAGTGGTGTTTGTGGGGTGGAGGCTCTAGATTTTTTGTGGTCCTTTTCGGTGCATTGTTTTTCAATTTCTTCGGTGATGTTTTTCAAAAGTATGCACCTCATCTCACTTATATACTTGCCATTCTAGTTATATCAATTTAATATTTTAACACCACATAGTTATCTACAAGAGATCCCGCATTTACATCATGGTTGAATTTAAGGTTTCACCGCGTATTTTGGGCACTAAAAAATAAGTTTAATCCCACCAAACTGCTGAAGTAATGAAAATTCAAACCCAAACATCGAACCAGAAAATCCGAGTTCAATGTCACTTTGACCCTTCACTATTAATGTATCCAATTGCATACATCAAATATTATCCGAGTTTAACGGTCTATCATCACATCCTTTCAAGTTTATTTATTTAATACATGAAATTTTGTGGAGAAATAAATGGCGGAATCTCATATAAAACTTCGAAGCATCCAAAATGAAAATGAATTTTCTACAAAAATAATAATACTTCCAGAAGAAAGCTTCTCAAAAAGGAAATTCCAAGCCACGGGGATTATTAGAATCTAAAATTCTAATTCTAATAGTGTCCCTTATTCTTCGAAGTAAATGTCCACTCTAACCCTACAAGACAAATAATTTACATAGCCTTGTACTATGAAGCAGCGACCCAAGGGAAAGAGCTTTATGCACCTTGTTGGATTGTTGGATTTGTAGAGCTAAATTACACCCTTTTGCAGGTCAGTGTAATCGATCATAGTATTTAGGATCGTTTCTAAACACTTCAAAAATCGTAACTAACCCTCTTAAAAAACTATATTTTATGGTACAATACTAAAAACAACTTTTGATAATGTAGAAATAGAATTTCTCACATGATAGATATAAAGGAATGTATAGACATGACAATTATAATGGAATCAATGAGTTACTATTGTCAGCAATTTAACTTTGAAATTAAGGTTAAGGGTAATGCTTTGAAGTGGATATAAGTTTGTACTTTTAAGATGTTGCCCCCAAATATATCAATGCACTTATAAAATATATATTCACTAAAAACAACATTTTTTAAAAGTTATCTTAAAAAGTCCATCTCATTACTTTGAGAAGTTACGTTGAACACAACTTAAATCATAAACAAAAAATTTAAACATCAATAGATGATTGAGAGTTTTTCAATTGATTAAAGAGTTATTTATCCTCTTATATCACGCTACACACACCATTAGGGATGGCAGTGGATCGTGAAAAAAAAATAGGTATTCAACCAAACTCGTTCTGTTTAGATCGAGAATGGACTGTATAAATTGGACGGTGGACCTATACTGAGAAACCATATAAACCCGTACAGAAATAAAAGCAGAGATGGACTTACCCTTACCCCGCCCCGTCCCCGCTATACCCATTATATATATAAATTCTCTCAGTTAAACCGGAAGGCCCCTAACTTACTCTCCAAAACAAATTTTCTAATAGTGTGTGGCCCTGGAATTGTTGCTGTGTATTGCGGGATCTGGAGACAGAAAAATTCAGGCTTAATACTTTCATAATATCTATATGTTGAACTCATATATATCTTCTATCTGGAGAATAATGTTTTTCCGTGTTTGCCTCACTCTCATTGCAGAAAAATATTTTCTATTGATATCGAAAGCTGATAAATTTCTAGGATGGTATCAAGATTGCTTCGTTACTCATCAACTCACTGTCACAATATTGAAGAACATGGATATTTTTTCATATGACAGATGCATCCTGAGCTACGTTAAGCTTTAGATTTCTCCACACAATAGTCTGCATCATTGCACAATCAAGCAGAGCATTTGAGAAGGGCATTTTTGTTTGTTTGAGGATACGTTCATTTCAATTTTTGTCCTCTGTTGACTGGCATACGTACAATTAGCTTATAGGTTTCTGATCACCAACTGATGGTGCCTAATAGATGAGTTATATAATTGTTTGAAATGCTATCTTGTTATCAAGCGTTAGTCATGGATTTATATTCTTTCTAAAGATGATAGAATTCTCCATCCGTTAAGGATAAAATAATATGTTGTTCCATGATAGATTGTTTGTGTTATGTTAGAATATGTTATGTTATATTATATTGTATTAGATTATGTTAAACTATTTAGAATATTGTTGGATTTGTTTAGAATTTTGGATTATATTAACTTGAACTTGGGGTTAGGCTTGGGCGGGTACAGGGAAAGCGGGGATTAAAATTTTACCCACGGACAAGTATAGGGATAAAAATTATATCCGTTAACAGAGGTGGACCGGAGATGGACGAAAGTTTTTTAAGCGGGTACGAGGATGAAGATTATACCCCCACCCCCGCTTCAGTCTACTGAAATTCCTACACAGTGTACACACCACGGTCACCACCATAAAAACATGAATTCAGATTTAGATTTTCTCAATTAGTTTCATTTAATGGTAGATCACACTCATTATATATGAGTGAGGGACGTATTTATAAAATAATGAATCCTGCTTGCATCTATAGCAGATAATCTAACATTGAATGAAATTAAATAAAAGCATATAAGAGACTATCTTAATCCGAAAATATAAAACTTTCACTTATTTAAAATATTCAAGTCAAGAAAATGAAATTAAAAAAAAAAGAAGATGAATATCATAATTGGTCCCTAAAATTTATCTATGGTTTTAATTTAGTCTTTAAACTTAATTTTTTTAATTTAGTCTTTCAACTATCAATTTAATCTTAATTAAGTCATTCCATCAATTTTCATCATCAAACCAAAATAGAAACATATGATCTACTAGTTGAAATGGATCAGATTGGGTAACCATATGTTTTCATTTTGATCTAATAATAAAAATAGACGAAATAACTTAATTGAGACAAATAGTTAATAAAGCAAATTAGGATTATTAAAAGTTTATGGACTAAATTAAACTTAGATGCAAAGTTTAGGGACTTGATATTTATCCAATAAAAAATAGGGATTTAACACTTTGTACTTTAAAAGATTTAAACATTCTTACTTTACACTTTCAAAAATTAATTTTTTTATATTACACTTTCAATGAATTAAAAAATATTACAATGTGACCCTTTTGATAGTTTCTGTTATTTTTTTCATCAAAAGTTAACTCATTGTTACTAACGAAAAACTAACATAAAGCAAGGGTGAAATTACAATATTTTTATATATTGAGGGTATAATTTATAAAATTAATCTTTAAAAGAATAAAATAAAAATCTTAAAATCTTTTTAGGTATAAAGTGCAATTCACCCAAAAAAAACAAAAAAAAACATAAGTAAATCGAAGATCTAGCCGTTCGAGTCGTTACCCAGGACGCGTCCGACGATCGAACTTCAAAAAATGCTTAAATATAGGTGCCGTCTGAGGAAGGAAGAGCTCTCTGTCGCTCGTCCCTCTCTCTCTCTCTCGGACATCAACCAAAGTCTCCCCTCCATAATTTTATTTTATACTGTTTCTCTTTCCTCACACATTCCTTCAATGTAATTACAACATGGCAGCAACAACCATTCAAACCGACCATTGCTCTTTTATTAATCAAAGAAAAACCATTCAACTGAATCACTCTAAACACCCATCTAGATCGATAGATATATATACATACTTGTAGTATTTGTGTGTGTGTGTATTAGAGAGATATCGAAAATGGGGAGCTACAATTACTACAAGATGTTCGGTTGTTTCAATCGGAAGTTCAAGATCAACGAGACAGAGCCACCGATGGACGTGAAAGTGGCGTTTTCTAGGTACCCTGAGAGGGGGACCCACATGACCGCCGATCAGCTCCACCGGTTTCTGATTGAATTTCAGGGAGAGGAAGGGCTTACCTTGTCTGACGCTGAGCGGATCGTGCACCAGGTTCTACATGGGCGGCACCACCTGACCAGGCACACCCGCCACGGCCTTACTCTTGACGATTTCTTCCATTTTCTATTCCTAGATGATCTCAATGGCCCCATCAAATCTCAGGTCCTCTTCTCTCTCTCTCTCTCTCTCTGTCTTGTTATTCAAGGGTCAATGGTGTCCGGACTAACTGACGCTTACGCGACTGATCTTGCTATATCATATATATGTTTCGACGTGTATCTTTTTGTATATGGGTAATACATAAAAGTAAATCTGTACGCATACACTCACACTTAATAAACTATTAAATACTAGTGATGAATACCTCCACTAAATTGAACTTTTCGAACATGAAGACTTACTTAAGGAAAAGTTTAAATGTCTGGAGTCCAGAACAAATGATGAATTTACTTATTTTGACAATTTAGAGGTGTTGTTTTGATCTATTTTGTGTTTCTTAGGGGGTTTTTTGGTAACTAGAATATAAGATAAACCGAATATTAATGAGAAGTTGGAGTTGCAGCCTGCTGAATCAGGGGATAATGTGGACAAGTTGTATAGTATGCTTGCATAGTATTCTACTTATGTGTGCATTACTTTGGAACAAGCCAATTGGGATTTGGTAATAAGGCTTTTAATTAAAGATAAAAAGGAATATGGTTAACATGATTAAAGGCAGTTTTCTTCTTAAATTCCGAAATGATTCGGACTATAAAAGTAGAATCAATTTTAGATTTTCCCTTGACGAGTTAATATTATTCCAGGTACACCATGACATGACTGCTCCATTGCAACATTATTTCATATATACAGGTCACAATTCCTATCTGACAGGAAACCAATTGAGCAGCAATTGTAGCGAAATTCCAGTCATAAAAGCTTTGGAAAGAGGTGTCAGGGGAATAGAACTGGATATATGGCCAAATTCTGCGAAAGACAATGTCAATGTTCTTCATGGGAGGTATGATCTCCTCCCTTTTAGACTTTTTCCGTAAGATAATGCTTATTCTATTTATCTGACGTTCAGCAACCTAAGCTATGATTACATGCAAATAAGCATGGAAAGAGATGAGGAAATGCCTACAACTTTTCATTCAATATCTCCCATGAAAAAATTATCTTTACCAAGCACAATTCTGATGTACTATTTCTGAAAGGCAGAGCTTTCAGAAAGCTGATTTATTTGTGATGCGATGCTAATTAATTGTTTATCTAATAGATTTATGTGAAACACAACACATTATGTGCTCAATTTAGACTAAAACTTATTTTCAGCAATGTCAATTAGGGAGTTCGTGAGATGAACTGGCTACCACTGAATTCTTTCTGCCTTGATAGAACAGAATAAATGGTGAACTTATTTTTGTAGGCTTTTCCAGATCTCATGTCATTTGGTGTAATGTAGTTTTACAAGTTTGAAATTCTGAATTGAAAATTATTGGGAATTCTAGAAATTTTCTCCGAGTTCATTTGTTAGTACATGCAAAGTGATTTCAAGATTGAATACCTGTAGGACCTTGACTACTCCTGTGCCACTCATCAAGTGTTTGAAGTCAATTAAGGAGCATGCTTTTGTCAAATCTCCTTATCCTGTCATAATTACTTTGGAAGATCACCTTACACCAGACCTTCAGGCTAAGGTTGCAGAGGTTAGCTTTCATTGCCCTTTTTCGGATGCAAATTCTCATGCACATGTTTTCAATTCATTTTCTTTCTTGTGACAACCACTCAATGTGCTTCTAGATGGTTATTCAAACGTTTGGGGAAATGCTATATTACCCTGAGTCAGGATGCTTAGAAGAATTCCCTTCACCTGAAGATTTAAAGCATCGAATTATACTTTCTACCAAACCACCAAAAGAATACCTTGAGTTGAAGCATCCTAAGGAGAAGGAAAATGCCTCACAAATGGAAAAGGATTCTTCTGAAGAGGAGCTATTGGGAAAGGAAACATCAGAGCATCCAGCTGATCTGGATTCTGACGGAGTGAGCTGAGAATAGAAGTTTTTTTTTTGTTTTTTTTTTTTTGTTTTACAATTGCTAGATTGCTCATATGCTTCATTTTTTCTTTTGAATTGCAGAGCGATAGTGATCAAGATGATAAAGATGGTGATGTCAATCACCAGAAAACCTGCCAGCTAGGAGCACCCGAGTACAAACGTCTGATTGCAATTCAGGCCAGGAAACCTAAAAAGGGGTTGAAGCATGCCCTAATAACTGGAATTGGTAAAGCTCAGCGTCTTAGTTTGAGTGAACAGGCGCTCGAAAAGGCTGCAGCATCTCATGGAATTGATGTTGTGAGGTATAGATTTCCAGCTCTGGAACTTAAAATATGTTGGCATTGTTAACACTTATATTAACACGTCTTCTTGGGTGATCAACATTTTACTGTCACCTTTTTAGGTTCACACAAAAGAATATTCTGAGGGTGTATCCAAAGGGAACGCGCGTCACCTCCTCAAATTTTGAGCCACTTACAGGATGGATGCATGGAGCTCAGATGATTGCATTTAATATGCAGGTTAGTTTTGACATTCTGGTGTCTGCATAGATCACACCTTTAGTGCTTGGTGTTTAGTTTAATAATATGTCATCAATTTGTTTCTGTTTCCTTCCATTAAGATGTTATTTGATTGGCACATAGGCATTGTCACGTGCACAGCATCAGTATGTGGTTTCATTGGGTTTTAGGAGTGCGATAGTCAGAGGCCCCACATTAAGGATTAAAATTTAGACATTTGAGGCTGTAGGTCTAGATGCATCTGACATGTGCATGATTTATTAGGTAACCTCCATTCCTTGTTGAAGTCTTGAGGGGCTACTCAGCCATGTGGACTGGGGTGGGGCCTTTCTTTTTTGGGTTTTGGGGGGGGGGGGGGAAGATTGTTTGGAACTCTTGTCTAATTACCTGTATACTTGGGAGTGACTAGAAATCTATGCGCTAATTAATTTACATTCCAGGCCAAACCAGGGTTTGCACGAAAATGTAATATTGTTAAAAAAAACTTGGCTTAGTCAAAAACACTACGGAGATTTGATTGAACTACCGACCACTGGGAAATATTATGTAGTCCAAATAACTTACCTATGCCCCAATAAGATAAATAAGTAATTAAAAGAAAGAAACACAACTAGTCATTGAGTTTTCAAGTTATCATCATTGTTATCATATTTTTCTAAAATAGGGGCATGGCAAATTACTCTGGTTGATGCATGGGATGTTCAGATCCAACGGAGACTGTGGTTATGTGAAGAAACCTGATTTTCTGATGAAGAAAGGTCTACATAATGAGGTATTTGATCCCAAAGTAACATTGCCGGTGAAGACAACTTTAATGGTGAGTAGATTGTTTTATTGACATAAGAGTTTTTCAGTTTCCTGATGATATCATCTTAGAAGAATTGTTTTATTTGAAAGGTAAGAGTATACATGGGAGATGGATGGCGTTTGGATTTTAGCCATACACACTTTGACTCGTATTCACCACCAGACTTCTACACAAAGGTCAGTCAGAGTAAATTATTAATGCTACCTTGAATCTCTGATAGAATGCTTTAATGATCACTGTTTGGGGCAATGATATAAGTTCTGGCTGCAGTGCATGAGATTATAAGTTTCAGCAAAAGGCATTCCCTTTGTACACATAATACTAAAGATTACCTATGATTGTGGTTCACCCTGCATTGGTGGTTTAACCGAGGGTAATAATGACCTTTTATTCTTTTTTCTCCATTTTTTCCTGACTATTAGACTTAATATTTATCGCCGTATTCCTTGCCTGCTATATTTTGGGTGACTAATGATATAGCATTCGGTTATCACCGGTTGACAATTATTTTGTTCCATCTATGGATGATATTATGGGACTCTGTTAAAGCAGTAAGCATATTCAAGCTGTGTGCCATGGCTATATAGTTGCAGGATTGGACATTAGATGGGTTGTTTGGTTGAAACAGACCATCCACCAAGCACACTTCTCTGTTCTTGTTCCTTTTAGCTACCTCTGAATGTTGCAAATATGACATCGGAACCATGGATGAATCCTTGACTAGTGCTCATGTAGCCATACGTTCAAGACTTGTGAATAGCGTTGTGCTGGTTATAATTTGGCAATAATGGCAAAACTATGGCGACAGTCAATAAGCCTACTGTAAATAACTGTTTTTCATCAGTAAATTAACTGAACCTGTAAGGGAGAAACTAAGAGAATAAGAGAAAAGTTTTAACATCACACCATATTATTCAGATCAAGGGGAAGTGTAACGATTGTCTAGTTAATTATTCATATTTCATTGGATTCTATGCAGATATGATCAAATTCCTTTTACAATTGAAGTGTGATCATAAATATTATCCACTGGGTTCCAGATTCCAGCCGAAATGCTTGCTTGTGTCAGAATTACAGATTATGAGCCATAAAATTTGGAATATTCTGCTGCTAACCAATATAACTGTTTCTGCTGATCTTATCTTTTTCCATTGAGGTGTTGTGTAATGGAATCTCAGTGAAAGGCATTACGATAAACTCCCAAACTATGTTATGGCTTATCCACATACTACACATACTAGGGGTAACCCATGCTTGAAGTCACGGTACAATGTGAATGGTTTTATATTATAGATATGGTGGAAAGGTTTAGTGAGAGGCTTAGAACTACATACTACTTGGGTTCAGAAGGGCATGAGGGATTGACCTCCTCCTGTTCACTCTCTCTTTCTGTCTTGGTATTGACTTATGGTGAAGCACAAAAGCTGAAGATATAGGAGAGGCCATGACACATCGGTGAACTTGGTGAGTAAGATGGGCTGCTCGAAAGCAACAGGCTGCAGTGTAACAATGGATCAGGGTTCCATGAGTTGTGTGGGCAAGTAATTTTTGTGTTTTCATCAGGTTGTCTAATGTGGTCAAAATCAATAATGTGATTTCCAAAAGTTTTGCCTGTGAATTAATCTCGTGTTGATATGTTTGCTTTGTTTATCTCCATTTTTCTTGGCTGCATACTTTCGTATGATCCTTGGAGTTATTGTGCATTTTCAGCCTTTTTTTTGCTGAAAACGTCGAGTCTAATTCTGATTGACTTAATTCTGAGTCGCAGGTTTATATAATTGGAGTTCCAGCAGACGCTGCCAAGAAGAAAACGACGACGATTGAGGATGACTGGGCACCTGTTTGGGATGAAGAGTTTACATTTCCATTGACAGTGCCAGAGCTGGCTCTTCTTCGGATTGAAGTACGAGACTATGACAGTTCAGAGAAGGATGACTTTGGTGGGCAGACATGTTTGCCTGTTTCTGAGTTGAGAACTGGGATTCGATCAATCCCACTTTATGACAAAAAGGGTGAGAAACTCAAATCTGTAAAGCTCCTAATGCGGTTTCAATTTGTATGAACTGCATTGTTTTGTGTTCTTCCTGGACACAAACTTTTGCTAGCTCTTGTGTCTCTGTATTGTCTTTCATATGATTTGTAGTTTCAGTTTATTGTATAGCGGGACTGCAATATGGTAACAGATTGAAATTCTGATGATGACGACTTTGTCTTATGTTCATGTTTCCTCATGCTTCCAAATATCATGGGGATAGGTTATCTCTCACTACTACATAACTATCTGTAAGGAACCCATCCACACTGGGCTGAAGCTCAAGCTCAGGTTCCACCACGTGGTCTGGACGCTGAAGAGTATGTTTAGTCTCAAAGAATTGTCGTAAGCATGGAGACTTGAACCTAAATATTGAGCAAGAAAATTCAAGCCAATATATAACTCAACACCATTTGATCGATGTCGTTACATATTTTATATAATCCACAAATCTCATGTGATTCGACTAAGTCTGTCTTCAAGTCAACCTCGAGTCATCCAATTCATCATCATTGAATCTTCCAATACCATTTTGCGATGTTGAACCAGATTTCATAATTGATTGGCGGTGTGGAACTGTGCAGGCCGCCTAAGCCTAATAAAAGTTCACTAAAAGCAGAAGATTAAAAACAAATATACATAGCATAAATAAATAAAATAATAATAACACTTTTTTTAATTAAAGAACAAGATTAATTGTTGTCACTTATAATTTGGTCAGGCACAGATGTATTTTTATCATTTGAAAACAAATATTTTATATCTATATCTATCTATATTTATTTATAAATGTCAACATCTGTAAAAAAAAATTTATTTTCTAATTAATTCATAATTATTATAATAAAGTCAATTATACTCACCTATATACTTTCATCTAATTTTTGTTTTTTACTCTTATTTGAATTTCAACTTACTTTGGACTCTTTTATAAAAATTTTAAATTCTTTTGAACTCATTTATTAGTAGTACAGTTATATACAATCTTCTATATCTATATAAATAAGTAAAGTTTTGTATATGTTAAATTATTATACACATATAGTTATCAAATTGAATTTCATAGTAAAATATATATTATATTTTATTTTTAGCACGCAATACTAAATAATATTATAAATGATTTAATCAATCTATTTAACAAAATAACAATTAATAATTCTATAATATAATTAGTTGTGCAAATACTTGAAATAAATGATAGATTAAGTACCAAAAAAAATTAAGTACTCAAAGACTTATATAGAATAAAATATTTTTTTATATGGAATAAACTAATAATTAAAATAGGGATTAATTATTCAATATCAAATTTATTATTTAATTTAATTATACATATAATTCACTTTTTTTATAAAAGTTATTATTTAAATTTATTTAAGTGCAATGCACGTCGTGCATTGTTAGTATATATAAAATCGCGGTAATAATCTTTCATTTATGACACTATACTTTACTATATAATGACACTTATTTTAAAAGAATAATAAAATAACCCAATAATTTTAAAAAAATATATAAAATAACCTCAATATGTTCAAAACTTATTCGAACATATCTGAAACGTATTTAAAAGTTAAGAATAATACTAGTTACACCTAATTTGGATTATAATTGTTGAAGACCCAATAATTTTGTGACCTTTTGATGGATAGCGGAGTTTATTAGATATTATGACTTACTGTCAGGCTTAATATCACAATGTATTAGGTTTTAATAAATATTGGCCAAAAGTTAATAATCATATATTTAAATTGATATCACTAAAAAATAATAATATGCTTGACATAATTAAATATATTTAAATTTTATTTTAAAAAATACAAAAAATAAAATACAAATTGAGGGTGTACATGGGTGGCTCCGCCCCTTCTTGTATCACGACTCTTCGGTGTGATTTGGTCTTAGTGTTACTGTCTCGTCAATTGTGTGTGAACCATTCCGGGTAATATACTAGTATATTTGATTTCATTAATCCGCCCTATATCACATTAATCCATCTTTATTACAAAAAAATTGATTCAACACTCGTGACACCAATCCACTTTGAACCTTAGATTTTTGGCAATATGGTAACAAAGTCGCGTCGTGCGTTGTGAGGAAGAGATGTGGCTACCATTCTAAGCTTTATTTCACCTACCAGTGCGTGTAAAAAATGCAATTTTTTTTTTGTTACATGATTATAAGGTAAGGTGGAGGGTAATGGGTCAAAAATGAAATCGACATAGTTACAAGATATAAAATTATTTCTCTAAACAATCATGATTTGAATTAATTGTTACGCAATTGTCGGATGATAGACATGTTATAATTTCAAGAGATATCTCATTATTTTTCGATATTATACTTTATTTATTTTTAGTTTCTGAGTTGTATTTTATATTGATACCCCGTGATTAATCAATGCTGAAGTTGATTAATGGAGCTTATTGACTTAATTTGAGTTTGTTTAAAATTACCATCTTTCTCCTAAAATTACAAAAAATAAAAAAAAAATCATAAAAATATAAGAATAATGATGTTTATGTCATAAATGTTTTTGGAAAATAAACTTGAATCTATCTAATAACCTCCATAGCTAACACCAAAAAAAAAAACCATGCCATCGCGAGTAAATATTTAATATAATGGTTATATTACATAACTATGATTACATGATGTCATCGATTAATAATAAATAAACAAGACAAATGAACTTCACTAATCTAACATGATATACAAATTAAAAACACAAAATACAATGATCGTTATAACTTTTAATCTCATTTCTATTACAAGTGATTCGAGTTATAAGATGGAGGATGTGAAGGAATTGATTCTCGTACTAGTTATCTAATTTGAGAAAAAATCTCGTGAAAATAAGGAAAAATAGACTCTGAAAGATACAAAAAATTTTAATTTGTCTTCCTTGAACAATTAATTTTCCCATATTTTCTTTTCAAAGAAATAAAACATTACATTGTGGTCCAAAAGCATTACAATTTGTTTCCAAAAATATTGCAATAAAAATATTTTTAGATCACATTGTAACGTTTTTATTTCTTTGAGGGGATAATATAAAAAAATTAATCATTCAAGGGATAAATTGAAAATTTTTATATCTTTTAGGGAGAAAAATGGGATTTGCTCTGAAAATAACCATAAGAAATCCCTCACTCTAGCCAAAAATGAATTATAGACAAGATTTTATTTATTAAAGTGAAATATATCAACAAGAATTTGTATACAAATTTGTAGACCATGTGCGCTCAGCCATAGTTTAGGGGTGAAGAAAAACTAAGACCATAGTTCCGGGGGATAAAGTGTAATTAATCCCCAATACCGACATCACACATGGAGTTGCCCTCACCCTATAATTTCCCTCTGCAAAAAATCTTGGCAACATCTTACAGATCATAAGTGCTCACCTATCAGCTGGCGCCAACCATAACCTTACCGGAACCCACCGTATCCGTCACCTTTGTCTGCAACCATAAACAATACCTTCCCATCTCCCTCTCTCTCTCTCTCTCTCTCTCTCTCTCTCTCTCGCTCCTCTCCCCCCCCCTCCCCGCAACCAAAAAACACACACACACACGCACAACAATGTCGAAACAGACATACAGGGTCTGCTTTTGTTTCCAGCGACGCTTCAAGCTCGCCGCGTCCGAGGCTCCGGCGGAGATCAGGGAATTGTTTAATCGGTATTCGGAGAATGGTGTAATGAGCGTCGATCATCTCCGTAGGTTCTTGATTGAGTATCAGAAAGAAGAAAAGGCCACATTAGAGGACGCACAGGCGATTATGGATGGCCTCAGTGAGTTGATGCACCTCAATGTTTTTCATCGGAGGGGTCTGCATCTCGAGGCTTTCTTTAAGTATCTGTTCGGTGATAGAAACCCTCCTCTCTCACCTTCTCTTGGGGTAAACTTTTTTTTTTTTAATTAAGCACTTACTATATCTACACGTTGTTTATTCAGATTTTTTGAATGTATATTGATGTGATGGGTTTAATTTAATTCGGGAAATTTGGATTGCTTCCACCGTTGAAGTAATTGAAAATCCTCTTTCCCATCTCCTACATTTGGGAATATATTTGAGGAAAGTTATGTTTAGGTATATAATATGCGAGAGAGACAGGGATTATTTAATGTACTGCCCTTGCATTGTTAGGTTGGAAATCTAAGGTAGATTATATTACCCTTACTGTATCACCAGTGGTATAAAATGCTAGTATTCCTGGTGAAACTTTTAGTTTTGGTCACTCTGTCTTGGCACAAGAAGGGTGCTGGTTTGAATCCCCCTCCCCTGTAATAGCCTGACTAGAAAAAATAAAATTACTTGTAGTTCGACATAAATTTTTATGGAGTTATACGTATTAGGATTTTGTACCATTGTGAGACAGACTCATTGGTTTAGGACAATCTTCCTTTGTTAAGTTCGCCTTATAGACATACTGGAGGTTGCTTGAGAATTGAGATGTCTCGTTCGATCGTATCTCTATGCTCCTCTGTTTTCTCATCGCTAGCATTGCTGTTCACTTTGATGCCACCCCTCAGATTCCAAATTTGAATTGGCCGCCATCCACAACAAGAAGCAAACACATGACTTGCACGGTCAAAGGATACTTTGAAAAAATAAGATTGGCTTTTTTGGATTTCAAAGCAATGTGGTCAAGGACATGATGGCTGTTTAGTTGACTGTACCCACAAAGTTGTAGTTGCCTTTTTTAAGAATATTCTACATCTGCAATCTATGCAAGATATTATTTGTTCTCAGCACCTCATTTTAACGGGGTTTGTTTTCATCTTGTCATCTGCCTAGCTACTTGGTTTTGGCCTACTGTAATAGGTTCTAATGTGTGGAATACCATGTTTAATTCTTCTTCTTATTTGGTTGGGGGGAGAGTAGAAGGGAGAGGAAGGGGGAACAAATATGAATAAGTCAAACTCATGCAATCGATCCAGCTACTGGAGGGATCCAAGTTTCAATTATACTTGGTTGTGTCTGGAGCACATGCCCTCGAATACATTAATTTTCTCATTTAAAAGGAAACAAGGATTGAGATGATAAGGAAGATGGAATATGCCACTGGCATTTTAATCATTCGTTTTTGAATTAAGTATGCCACTATCAGTGTAGTTTTTTTTTTTTTGTCAATTAATGTTTTTTGTCATATCACTTCTGCAACTGTCAAGTCCTCTCCACCTCAATTCATTTATTCACCATATTAATCCATTTTTCTCTATCTTTTTTGGTGATTTTCTTTTTGTTCCCAGGTTCACCATGATATGACTGCACCATTGTCTCATTATTTTATGTATACCGGCCACAATTCCTATCTTACTGGAAATCAACTAAGTAGCGATTGCAGTGATGTGCCAATCATAAAAGCATTGCATAGTGGTGTAAGAGTGATCGAACTGGATATATGGCCGAATTCCACAAAGGATGATGTGGATGTTCTTCATGGAAGGTATGGTTTTGGTGGATTTGGCAACTATTTCTAACACGGTACAAGTGTATGTCACCTTTTGCAATTATCAGCACCATGACTATAAATAACTAATTACCATGTTCCCTGGGTACGACCTTTTATGCCCTAGACTTATCATAGGTGCTAGTCATGTTCCCTGAGTACGACTTTTTATGCCCTTTCTTATGAGAAAAACTAAGTTATGGATACAATTAGGATGCCACAAATCTTGTTTCCTCCTTGGTGGACAATTAGGACATTGAGTTGTAATACGATATGTCACAGCTTTTGAAGTTTTGGAAGTGGAGTAGCTACAGTAGGAGGTTTGGTTGATAATATGGCGGAAATGCACGATTTATGAGTGACTTACTTCAATATTTTGATCAAATCTCGCAATATACTTGGAGTTGCTATATATAACTTACATTGTTCTTGTTTCAGATTCCTGTTTGTGCCTAGTTTTACCAAAAGAACGTTGTTTTTTAAAAAAATTTAGTTTCTGCTAGGTCTGTTCATTTCACCTATGGTACCTATAGTTGGTATTCTATCATACTAGTAGAAATGGACGTACTTCTGGAGTAATATTCCATTTTGGATGGGAAATGCAATTAGATGTTTGGGGCAGTTGCATTTGAACGTAAACTTCCAGAGCTTTCTAATAATAGGTCATTGGAGTGAAAAACAGGATTTGAATGAAGAAGTTATATGCATTGAAGCTGAGCAAGTGCAGGAGAAAGTTCCAAGTCAATCTGAAAGAAGTAGAATTGATTCTGGCTTGGACAGAACAATTTTGGAAAGTCCAAAACGGATCTGGTAAGGGATCAGGATATCCTACGTGCTCTGCAGCATCCCAAAACATGTTTTCGACAAATTTAAGAGTTTTCAACCATGTTGGACACATGTACAAGGTGGGAATTTATAAGGAATCTTTCTTGATCTTCTAAATCAATCTCCTTACAGCATGTAAAATATAGAAAAAAGTGTTATACCTTAAACAACAGATGTGTTAGAGAATTCTAGTTCTGAAACAAGAGATCTCATCAAGTTGAGAGCTTTATGGAAAAGAGTCTCCATTATGGAGGAACTGGTCGGTCGCCATTGAGAGACTGAATACCCATCGAAGAATATCGATCTGGTACTAAGTTTCCATTCATTGAGAAAGATGAGTGCATTTTCTGTTGTCACATGGAGAGCATCTTGAGAGGAAAAACTTTTTGAGAACATGTTTTTTTTTTTTTAATTCCTGATATAATTCTTAGATTCTTTGGATTGTTTGATAGTTCATGAGTGAGGTAGAGGTGCTTATCCGAAGTATTCATGTGAGGACTTGATAATTTCACTGAAGGGGAAGCACTTGTATTTTCATATTGTTTGGTAACTTTCCCTGTTTTTCAATAGCCTGTTAGAGCGTCTGGTGGTAGAGCTAGAGGTCTTGATACTTAACAGGAGCCCGCCTATAACTGGTTTGGATTTATCTAGGGAACAAAACTTTGTTAGCGGAAAAGTTGAATACAATTATTTTCTCTGCTATGGGAATGAACTTAGGCTTAAGCTAGCCAAACCATGATACATCACATGCCTTGTCCAGTCACATGCATTGGCACAGCGGTAAGGTGACTTAACTATGATCCAGGTGTTATGGATTTTAGTTGGGAAAACAGCCTTTCCACATACCGAGATAAAACTGCATATATCTTTCCTTCCTAGACCTGGAAATATTGTGCACTTGGCTGCCATGTTCTTGTTTTCATGGGCAGTCAACTGGCAAGTTTTTATATTTTCAATTGAAAAAGGTTTTCAACTACAAGATGGCTAAAAAGCATGAATATCGGCGTAGATATGACACGACACATCATGGATACACGGCCACAACATTTCTCAACAAAACATGATGCAAACATGCTGTGCAGTGTCCACACAGGATAAATAATTGTGATATACACAATTAGACATCAAATCACATATTTATCACTCTATATTGATATAATTAAAGTATTATACAGAAAATCAATCGTTTGTGGTAAGTATAATGTCTAGTTCTATTATATGGGTTCTTAACCTAATGGATCAAATGGCTAATAACTGTTGATTTTTTCATCAAAACAATTTGTAGAAAACATGCATAGTTAAAATAATCACCATCATTTTCTCAACCCCTTTTCTAGTAAAACTTTACGCATCTCTTAATTTAATAAATGTAAAATAAAAGTGTAATATAACTAATCTTGATGATACCATTTTCTTTCCAAGTCAAATTTGAAAGCTAATATATTTGCATGTCGACACGTTTATTTTTTAGTTGTAGATATGGCTAAAAGAAGTGTCGGACACGTGTCAAAAATTAAAAACTTAGCATTTAATTGTCTGGACACTTTTCTAACAGTGTCCGAGAAGTGTCTATCTCCAACACTTTTTCGACACGGATATGTTGTCTTCTTGAGAATGTCCGTGCTTTTTAGCAAGGTGGTGTAAAGAAAAGTCAGTGATAAGATCTTTCTTCCAATTACAAGATGAGTTGATTTATTGTTGGTCCAAAATTCAGATGTTCAAGTCCTATATTTCAAGGATTCAAGGTGCTGAGATGGTTGTATGTTGCCAACAAATGAAAGCATGTCCTGTGCCAGTGTTTGTGCAACATAAATCTAAAGCCTGAGCAATTAGTTGCTTCTCCTGCTGTCCATACTTCTTTTTAAGGTATAAATCTTTTATGTAGGACACTGACCACTCCAGTTGAACTCATCAAATGTTTGAGGTCTGTCAAGGAGCATGCCTTTGCTGTGTCCGAGTATCCTGTTGTAGTAACTCTAGAAGACCACCTTACTCCAGATCTTCAGGCTAAAGTGGCTGAGGTGAGTACATGCATTTAATTAGTGGCTAGGAACTGCTCTCGTGGCTTTATCCTTCACCATTTCTTTGACAAAATTCTAGATGATCACTCAAACATTTGGAGACATGCTGTTTTCCCCTGGCTCAGAGTGCTTGAAGGAGTTTCCCTCCCCAGAATCTCTGAAAAAGCGGATTATTATATCAACTAAACCACCTAAAGAATATCTTAAGGGTAAAGAAATTAAGGGAAAAGAGAGCGATGCACAGGAGGGAAAGGATCCATCTGATGAAGTGGCTTGGGGGAAAGAAGTACCAGATCTTAGAGCTAGCATGGATGGTCCTGATAAGGTGCATGGGAATATTTTAGCGTTTTCACTACTTCGTTGACTAGAGTAACTTAATGTTGAGTCCTTATTTGCAAACTTATTCTCCTATACAGGATGATTTGGATGACGAAGAAGACAGTGAGGATGATGAAGATCCTACATTGCAGCAGACTGCAGCTCCAGAATATAAGCAATTAATTGCTATTCATGCCGGAAAGGGAAAGGGTGGATTAACAGATTGGCTTAGGGTTGATCCTGATAAAGTGAGAAGGCTCAGCTTAAGTGAGCCACAGCTTGAAAAGGCTGTAATAACTCATGGAAAAGATATTGTCAGGTATCTATTAAATAATTTTCCAACTTCATTTTAAGTATTGACTGTGCCGCCTGTCTGAACTGGCACATCATTGTTTCCTAGATAAATACAATTCATTTTTACTGATATTTGTGGAACAGAGTTCAATAAAACATAAGATAATCTTGATAGATACTGAAGATATCCTGAAGTGGTGCTGCACAAGTGTACATCTTATAAATAAGCAGGGATGAAGAACTAGATTACCATCCAGCATTGGATGCAGCACAAGTAGTGCTAACAATTGGGCCATGTTAACAATGTCAGTAATAATGACCAGTCCAGTTAACAATGTTCAGTCTACATCATGTAGCCATTACTGTTATCATTTTCCTATGTAGGCATCATATGTGCTTCACTGCTGCTATAATAGTGGTTCTCGACTCTTTCCTGCAAATTTCCATTCATAATTATAATTATTTTTGACCTGTTTCATTATCTTTGAGTCTGCACATGATTGCCTTAATACTTTGTTAAGTCGGTCTGCCATGTTCTGATATTGGCTTGCTTTAGGTTTACCCAGCGGAATTTATTGAGAGTATACCCAAAGGGCATACGCTTTAACTCATCCAATTATAATCCACTAATGGGGTGGATGCATGGAGCTCAGATGGTTGCATTTAATATGCAGGTTAGGTTTCTTTTTTCTTCCAGGAAATATAGCGCCTTATCGATAGTTGTTATATGGACTTCCTACACTAGGTTCCTGTCTTTCGTTTGCTTGAGTGCACTGGTGTGTTTGTGTTTTGTTTTTTAGTTTGAAATACTCAGCTAAAAAAAAAATCCTTAACTTTGTTCGCTCATCCATTTCATCTTCTGAACAGTAATATTTTAAAGTTTACCTGAGCTGAGAAAATACCAAATGACAAGTTTCTATGACAGGGTTATGGAAGATCACTTTGTTGATGCATGGAATGTTCAGGGCCAATGGTGGCTGTGGGTACGTCAAGAAACCAGATTTCTTACTAAAGGCTGATTCACCTAATGAAGTCTTTGATCCTAAAGTTCCATTACCAGTTAAAACTACTTTGAAGGTAAGTGTAGAATTTTCAGGGCTACCAACTCTCAGGTTCTTAAATTTTTTGTTAAAGCATCCCTTTTGTACCTGTGTGCATGTCATTTTGGAAGCAGTGCATATGCACTGTCATTTACTTTCCTGCGACTGATTTGTGATTTCTTTCAATAAAACAGGTGACCGTATATATGGGTGAAGGATGGTATTTTGATTTCTCTCATACACACTTTGATGCATATTCACCTCCAGATTTCTATGCTAGGGTAAGTTGATATGGTATACTAGTAGCAATTGCTTCACCTGGCCTTCTTGAACATGGCCTATTGTGCTCTCCCGGGGATGAAGCCAGAAATTTACTCCTCCATTATTTATCTCAATAGATAAAATGATAATAACTCATTTGTATTTACCTAAGTCATATTTAATAGTTGGCGTTTCATTAAAAGACAAAAGGCTACACCATAGTGTATAAAAACAAAAAACACAAAAAGAGACTAATTAAGACTTTGTACAAAAAAAATGAAGCTAATTACAAGCATTTATAATTGGCCTCAACAAGTTTTCATACTTTGAAAGCATTGTATGGCAACTTCATTATCAATACCATCATAACTTCATTGTCAACACCATCCAATTATCTTTTTCTATGAAAACCATAAGTTATCACACAATAATCCTAATTTTTTCGCAATAACAAAATGATTACACAATGGCCTGACATGTTCAAAAACTGATTTAGACATAATTCATAACGTGCACGAAGTGTGTCGAAAAGTTCAGTCATTTAGGTATGAGTCTCTTCAAATGGATTGGACAATAAAATGATAGGGTGGACACAATTAAGTATATCTGAAATATATAAGTTAGGCCTTTACTGGCTCCCCCCCCCCCCCAAAACACACGCAAACGCAAACGCACACGCACACGCACGCACGCACGCACCTACACAAGAAAAAAGAATAGAAAAATTAACTGAAAAATTCTCTTTTGTGATTTCATATCTGTCAATGCTCCTAACATTAATTGGTTGCTAGAAACTTCTGCCTTTTTACTTACCCATTTTAGTATCCACTTGTCCTGTTGAACGATGGACAAATTTTATGGTGGGTTTGAGTCGTTTGACCATTTCAGATTTTCATAGTTTAATTTGATACCTTCATAACCATAATAAGTTCATTTTTATATTTCTATTCACCAGAGTAGTTTCACTCTATTAGGAATTTGCTGCAGTACTGTTTTAACACTTGTGTATGTTTATCCAGACGTAAAATGCTGAACATATGTCTTTAACATAAAAGAAAAGAAAGGAGTAAAAGAGGAAAAACAACTTGCCTTAAGAGCCATTATGAGAGTTCAATTTTCCCAGGGATTTCTGTGATGATTGTTGTATGATTGTATCACCTACCTCACTCTGGAGAGTTACAGTATATGTACCCAAGTCCATTGATATCAAATCTCTTTGCAGATAGGAATTGCTGGAGTCGATGCAGATACTCTAATGAAGAAAACTAAAACACTCGAGGACAACTGGATACCAAATTGGAATGAGGTGTTTGAGTTTCCATTAACAGTTCCTGAACTGGCTTTACTTCGGATTGAAGTTCACGAATATGACATGTCTGAAAAGGATGAGTTTGGAGGCCAAATGTGCCTACCTGTGTCAGAGCTAAGAGAAGGTATCCGAGCAGTTCCACTCTACAGTCGCAAGGGCGAGAAGTACCAGTCTGTAAAGCTTCTTATGCGCTTTGAGTTTGTTTGATGTTGTTGTGAGCTTGTGAAATTTCTTTCCTTGTGTATTCGTTTGTTTGTTTGTTTTTCTGTTTTTTTTTTGCAATGAGAGCTTGTATGTAGTCCTACCACTTGGCCTTCTTGTTGTGTAAGACGCGTAGATTTACATCTGTGTATATGTACATGCATCCAATTTATTTTTTGTGATGTTGTACTGCTGCTATCAAATAGTTTGTGCATGGAACTTGTATGGTTTTTGTTGCTCTACCATCGCACTTTGACCCCTTTTCTTTCTCCTCTACCCTTTCTTGAGGTTAGGGTTGATAATTGAGATGAGTTAAAATAAGATTCGACTCGAGCTTGACACATATTTTAAATGAGCCGAGCTTGACACATATTTTAAATGAGCCGAGCTTGACACATGTTTTAAATGAGTCGAGCTTGAATAATTTTTTCAATTCATTTAATAAACGAGGTTTAAAGGGGTGACTTTGATTATATATAAAATAGTAAAGTTACTCGGGTTTGGTTCATTTTGAACTTGACTTTTATTATAAACGAGTTAAACTTGAATACCTTTTTAAGTTCATTTAGAGAAATAAGGTCAACAGGTTCGACTCGATTATCAACTCTTCCAAAGGACATATATTGCTTAGGACAGTCATCAATTGTTCTAATCTAAGAATTAGACAATTAAAGTTGGCTCTCATAGGAATAGATGATACATGGTCTTATTTTGGCTTCAGATATCAATGCAAAAATGAAATCTGAGTGATGGATTTGTTATCATTCAGGTTCTCATACTTTTGGGTTTGTTTTAGACACTAATGCTAAAACAAAATGCATCGTGCTGACCATACATAAAGTCCAAATAGAAGCCCTAGAGAGCAAGTATATTTTCATTAATGGGACTGGATTCATTTAATTTTAGGTCAATTACAAAATACCTCTTTTAAGTTTAGGTCACATTCAATCAACTCTGTTTAATTTTAGTTTCAATAATTTATTTGTCTCGTTAAAGTTTGAATATTTATAAATTAAGTCAAGTTCAGTGAAAAATGACAAAAGACATTCATTTGAAAATCACATAATCTCAAATTCTATGAAGAGATAAGATTATTCTTCACATTATTTTGTCTTGGGAAAAAGAGTGAAGAGTTTTTTTACGTGAGGAAAAAATTTCGAATTCAGGCTAATTTTCTCTTTTTCATAAATATGAGATCATGTGACTTAATTTTCATTATTTATCATTGTTGAAAATAACTATTTGAGTTAATTAAAAAATGTAAAAATATTGAGAGAGTAATTTGTTGAAATTCAAAGTAGAAAAAGTCGTTTACAACTAGACCAAAACTTGAAGGGGATATTTTATAATTAATCCTTTAATTTTTTATGTCAATCAACAAAAATAATTATTAATACACAAAAAATACACACACCGGTCAAGTGCCAACTAAGAATGACAATGGACCAAGGAAAAGCGGAGATTCTTCGAAATGCGCTCCGTTTAAAACGGGGGATGGACCATGCGTATGAAAAAGTTAACATATATGAGAATATCCGTTTAAATTCATGCGGGAATGAACGAGGGTTTGGATTGAAACTGAAATTTATCTCTACCCGCTAAACCCGTTATTATATATATATATATATATATATATATATATATATATATATATTTATTTATTTATTTATTTATATTTATATTTATACCCCTAAGAATGTATTTATGTTTTTGTAGTGGTTCGAACTAATCAATTACTTGCTAGTTAATTCTAATATGCCATGTTTATTTGATGATATCTCTAATAAGTGTAAATGGTGAATCCTTCTATGTCGTTTAAATAATATAAGTATTTTTTCCATCGATCTTTGTTTGATTAAGTACAATTTGTGATTAATTATCAACTCATGGTGCATTTTGAATTTTTAAGAACTTAATTGGCGTAAAGGTTATAATTTAAAGATCATACGTATAGTTTGCTCATGTTTTCATTTTTCAATTATTGGTCGAGCTCTATTACAAGCCCGAAAAGTATTTTGTTGGTATCATATATTCTTTTTTTTTTTGCTCTTGGAAAAAAAAGGCGGGAGCAAAGGAGAGAGTCAAAAGATTACCGTGATAGATCTTCACTAGTAGGATCATGATGTCCCTGACCATGCTAGTTCCTCTTATTGGAAAAGAACTTAGTTATGTTAGCATAACGATCAACTATTGAGCCCTAATGTGGACTCCAAGGCTTAAATCTCTGATCTCAGGGTTAGAAGTTCGGTCAGTACCCCACTTTATAAATTTTAATTAATTTTAACAAGTGTATAAATTTTTAATTTTTAATTAATAATTATAAATAATTTAATTTAAAATAAAAAATTAAATGGAGTTAACTGATTAATTATCGTAAATTCAGCTCTCTTAGAGCAATTCGATCGGAATAGCTAAAGGAGGCTTGTTAGCTATTTTAGATAGTCGATCTATAAATTTTGGCTCCAACAGGCTATCTATCTCACTCGGTATTACTCATTATTCACTATTGGCTTGCTGGATCTGGCGACCTCCCAAGGCTAACTATTCACGACATATCAGTCCACAGATCGTCTTCATCATAGATTCATAGCAACGTCTACATCATAGAAACTCCATCGTCTGGTATGCTCTCTCTCTCTCTCTCTCATGGGGATCGTGTAGGAATTAGATAGATATTTTAGATTAATCATACGAGTAATTTAATATTTATCTTTTAAGTATTTTCTTTTAATTTTTAAGAGTTTAGTTGTCATTTTAATTATTTATTTATTTTAAGGTTTGTGATATTTTTATATAAATAGGATTTGTAAATTTCTTATATAAATAGGGGATACATAGTTGTTGTGAGACGAAACTTTTGATTATTATTGATTATTGATATTGAATCTTGATATTACTTCTTCCACAAATTCTCTCTCTTTTCTCATCCACTTTTTTTTCTTTTCTCATCTCGAATTTTTTCCTATTATGATCTACATTAATTTGGTATTAGAGATAGTACGATCTACATCAATTTAGTATCAGATCTAATACGATCTACATCAATTTGGTATCAGAGCTATTACGATAAACATTAATTTAGTATCATAGCTAATATGATTTACATCAATTTGGTATCAGAATCCAATTTCAATTCGTACAAATCACAAAATTTTCAACAACACTGTTCATTGAAAAAAAAATTTGTTTGTCGAAATCACTGTTCACGTGTTGTTTCGTGCGCACTGTTCACGTGCACTGCTCATCGTAACAAAAATCTCACTGTCCTGGAAAAAAAAACAGAATTATCAAGCAGATTCAGAAAATTGTAGCAACATCGTTGCAAAAATTATAGAAATACCCCAAAAAATTTCAGAAGTTACAAAGCGACCACCAGAAATTTCAGAAATTATAGAATCTTCCTTCCATAAGTTATAGAATTATAGAGACACCCCCAACAGATCCATAAAATTATAGAATCATCCCCAAAACGTTTCAGAATTTCCTCTTGATTCCATAGAATTTGAGACTAATATTTTTATTCATTGAAAAATTAAAAAATTGGCAAAGGGTCAAAAACATATTTTCTTTTATTTAAGTTTTCTCACTTTTCGTAATTATCAATTGCATTCTTGAACTCATTCTTATGTTATTTATTCTCATCTTTCAAAGTCAATTATGAGTTTATATGATCATTATGATGCCTATTCATATACTTATCCAACATCAATAATATCTCAAGTTCACAATTCTCCACAACATTATCACTATACCTATTCTACTCCTAGAGTTTTTCGGAGTCGTCATATAGTTCATAGTAAGTCTGAGTTTTATTATGAAGATTATCTAGAATACTACTCTGAGACACTTAGGTCACATAACAATTATCAATGTCATGCTTCCCAAAGTCATTATCAAAGTCAATCTGGATCAATCTTTAAAGTCATTAGTGACCATTCAAAAGCCCAAATTGCCCTAGAAAAAAGTGTTGAGATCTTTGAAATTAGAGTTATTAATTCTAAACATTCACTCGGCCAATTACGTGAAGAATGTAGAGAGATGAAAAATCAATTATCTAAATTAACAAGTCAATTTTTTCACTTGAATAAAATTCTTACAAGTCAGCAAATGAAAAAAAATAAGGACAAGTTTTCAGTTTCACATAATATCAGACACCCGCATAATGATAGCCATATTTTTGTTTCCGGTGGACCCTTATGCTTTTTATCCTTCAAAGCATACTTTCAATTGTTTGAACATTGACACTAGTGATCAGATTATTTTTGATGCTATCATGTTTTCTATCTCATCGGAGCCAAAAGTTTAATCATCACTAATCACTAAACTTGAGGAAAAATCTATTCAGTTTTTCCTATGCAAGATATTAAATATATTGAGCTATCTATTTTAGAATCTGTTGGCAATTATTCTGTGTCTACTATTCTGAATCATGATGACATTGTTGTGGATATTTCTCCACCTGAGATTGTTGACATTGTTTTGGATTCTGTCCCACTTGAGAGTGTTAACTTTGATTTTTTGCCTACTATCAAGTATTCAATAGAGTCTGTACTTTCTTATTTTCAACACCAGGGTGTTATAATTACTCCTTTGTCATTGATTTCTTATCTCACTGAATGCCTTTTATTCAAATCTAATGGGAATTGTTTTGTTATTCTTGAGTTTGGATTTAATGCTTATTTGCTTAATTTTTCATTGTATGTTAGTATTAGTCAAGATTTTTATTTGGAGGACACGCTACTTAATCGAGATACTCTAGACCCTCCTATTTTGTTATCCAATGTTTCTACAGGTGGAATTGCTTCTTTCTCAACACTAGTTCCAGTTCTTATCTTTCCACTTACATCGCATATTTCAGGTCAAATAGATGATGTGCTACGTGACCAGATTTACATTGCTACAAATGGAGATTTTTGCATTTCTTTTGGTCGATGGAAAGATGTTAATTGTTCTTTCATTCTAGATGAGACGTTATGTCATCTTCGTTTTGCTCTCGTATGATGCTT